CTGTTCTTCTCCTCTTCTCTTCTCTTCTCTTCCTCTTATTTCTGGCCGACCACACTGTCAAGAGTTCTTATTTTCTTTATTTAGTTTTGATGGAGGTGTTTTCACCAAAGCTATTTGTCAGTTATACCAAGTTCAAGGTACAAACCCTTCTTTTATGTTTTCACCAAAATTTGTAGTGTTTGTTACTCTACCATTCCTTATACTTTTCTATCTTCTTAGTTTTATTATTATTTTGGTTGTACAAAGGACTATGGGATACAGGTTTATTTTGGTGCTAGACTAAGGGCTGTAATCGGATCGGATGCAGCAAAATCCGCGTCCGATCCGATTACTAAGAACCTACATCCGAATCCGAACCGAAATCCAGTCAGATTTAAAGACTCTGATTACTCTGCTATAAATTTTCTAAAATACCAAAAAAAATTTATTTATTTTTCAACTTTCATATATAATAAATTAATATAAATATAACATACTAAATTTATTATATATAAATTCATATATAATTTAATATATAGAATGTATTTTTATAATTTCAAATATAATAATATAAAATTTATATATTAAAAATTAATAAATATTATAATATAATCGGATCGGGCCTCGGATTTTCGGGTATCATTGACAGATCTAGCTAGATTCCTTTTGACTGAGGTATTTATGTGAAAATTCAGGGAAATCGACAGGGTTTTATAGAATTCTGGTTGCTTTCCTCTGTGCTATGATATAATATTTGAATCTGAAAACCAACAATTCTGGAGTCCATTAATCATAGAAGTTCTGATATTGATTGAAAATATTCTTGTTAAAATTGCAATACTGAAGTTGACAGTTTGTTGTCATTGGACTGAAAGTTGAAGCAATCCCATGTTGCATTGCAAATGCATGTGCTGCTACTGGTGGTTTCATATCTATGTACTATTTTTTATTTGTACATGAACATGTGAATTCATGTATTTATGTATGAATGTTCTATTTCTTAGATATGGAGGTACCACATTAAACATGACATCTTTCTTTCCACCCCTTTCTAGCATGATAAATATTTTGCTGTTGGAAACTTTGATTCTTTGGTAAGCCTTTGTGATCTCCAAGAGATGCTTTGTTTGTGAACATTTTAAAAACTTGTAGGACTCCATCTTTTCTTTTGGAAGGGAAAGATAAAGGAAAGAGGGAGACTGATTCCCAATATCTGAAAATCAACTTTTACAGTTCCCTACTTGTTTTCAAGAATAAATAAGAGTATATTCTGATAGAATAAGTGGCCATAGGTCCTCGTTATCTGCAATCCTCAGTGTATTGTAATATCCAGTTGGCCATGTGATTAACCATACATTGAAGGATAAGTTGGTATTCCTGTGTTTACATTCAAACACTCACACACACTGAATCTTTTCTTTTACTTATAATATAAATAGTTATTTTCTAGAAGTTTTAGTTCTTTGTTTCATTATAAATGAGTTTTATCTGTTCACATACAGGTTAGAGACTTATTGGATTTCATTGAATTCCTTCCAACATCAGTTGGTTCAATAGGAGACTGTTTCACTCAGTATGAGTTGGATCAAGTGAGTAGATCCTTGATCATTGAGACACTTTTATCAATCTGAAGGGGCTTGACCAAGCCAACTAAATGTTCCTCTTCCAAAATCTCTAATAGCATTGATTACTCCTAACAAATGCAGAAAAGAATGTTGGAGGTTAGAGTGTTACGTAAAGACAGTTTTTTGGATTGCGAAGCATAAAAGAAAAGGTGCTAACACAAGGAAGAGGTATGAGTTGGGTGATCAAGTGAATAGATCCTTGATCATGTGAGACACTTTTATCAATCTGAAAGGGGCTTGACTCAGTCAACTAAATGTTCCTCTTCCAAAATCTCTATTAGCATTGATTACTCCTTACAAATGCAGAAAAGAATGTTGGAGGTTAAAGTGTTACATAAAGACAGTTTGTTGGATTGCAAAGCATGAAAGAAAAGTGGTAACACAAGGAAGAGCAATAGAGCCTCCCAACTTTGAGCGCAATTTGGATTCAGCAGTCCCAGGTTGATCTTGCTTCAGTGAGTAATGTCTCGGAACTTCTCATTTCATTTTTGCACTCCTTGTTTTTGATCTTGCAGGTTACAGATTGACAGGGGAGATTCGTCCTGGACTTTAATATTCTACAGTTGCTTCCCTATCTCTAGAGTTATATACAATTAATTGTATCTTTTAAGTATTGTTGCCTGTAATTTTATAGTTTTGCTAAGTTGGTCCTGATTTTAACTCTCCATTATAAGCAATCTTCTGGTTCAGTTTAAATAATTTTCGCCTGTAATTATAAGCAGTGGATTAGCACATTTGACTTTGGATCAAAAGGTCATGGGTTCGACTCCCACTGTGGTCGTTATCCAAACAGAATTTTGCAAGGTGCCAACCAGCTGGTTGGTAAGGTCTCTTGTTGGTCGTAGCGGAGACTTGGGATCAAATCCCGCCTGCACCTGGGTTGGGGGATGGGCTACCCCTCATTGTGTAGCCCTTCAAAAAAAAAAAAAACAGAAATAGGCAGGCTGGTACCTTCTATTGTTTTTCCTATGGCCTATCAGAACCATAAGCTTCAACTACACTGGACTCTATATTTCTTCTGCTCTTCAGCTAGGGAGTTTCTTTCCTGTTAGCAGAAGAGAGGAGTAACACTTGAGGTAACAAGAGGCTGCCTTCTCCCTACTTCAAGCATAACTAGGTACAGGTACAGCTGTTAATTTGGCTTCTCCTTCCTTGAAAGCTCATTTTGATCAAATAATTTTGTAAGTTTTCTTTTGGAAGGTGAAAATATGGGCAGTCCAGAACACATATGTCATATTGTGGGCCTTTGTGTATGGAATGCATGCATCATAAGTAGGGTATGATTTCTATGAAGTGTAGAAGTCATCCTGAAAATTTTCTTTCTTTCTAGAAAGTAAAGTACTTGCATTAGCCCTCAAAAGTCAGAGAGCATGTGCAAGTGTGATCCATCATCCATGTGTTTATAAAAGTGAAAAAAAAAAAAAAAAACTTGTCATGAAATAAGTTCTTTATTTTGACTCTTGAATTAATAGACATGATGAGGCACATGAATAAAAAGACATACTATAAGTATGTCTTTGTAAATGTATGTGCTGATGCTGGTAGTTTTCACATCTATGTACTCTTTTTTTATTTATGCATGAATGCTCTTTTTCTTAGATACAGATGTACCACATTGAACATGACAATTGTCCTTCTTTCCACCCTTTCTGGCATGATCAATATAAAGCTGTTGAAAGCTTTGATTCTTTGGTAAGCCTTTGGGATCTCCAAGAGATGCTTTGTCTGTGAACAATCGAAAGACTTGTAACTTGCTCCACCTTTTCTTTTGGAAGGGAAAGATAAAGGAAAGATGGAGCTTGGCTCTGAATATCTGAAAATCCACTTTTACTAGTGCCCAACTTATTTACAAATATAAGTAAATAAGTTGTCTCCGAGTATTGTTGCCTGTGATTTTATAGTATTGCTAAGTTGGGCTTGGTTTGAACTCTCCATTATAAGCATTCTTCTAGTTCAGTTTAAATAATTTCCAGAAATAGGCAAGCTGTTACCTTTTTCGTTTTTTTTTCCTGCTTATTGCCTGTCAGAACCATAAGCTTCAATCACACAGGACTCTATATTTCTTCTGCCAGTGAAGTCTGTTTTGTGTCTTCAGCTTCCCAGTTAGCAGAAGAGAGGAGTAACACTTGAGGTAAAAGGAGGTTGCGTTCTCCCTACTTCAAGCATAACTAGGTACAGGCATCAATTTGGGTTCTCCTTCCTAGAAAGTTCATTTTGATCAAATAATTTTGTAGGTTATGTTTTGGAAGGTGAAAATATGGTCAATCCAGAAAACTATGCTTTAATATCCTAGGTTCAGATATGTTCAATTGTGGGCTTTTGTCCATCAGCGCCCCACAGCACATCCGAATGACAAGCTCAGATGTGCATGTGGGGCGCCTGTGAGGCGCTGGTGTGATCTCCTTTCGCATCATAAGTAGGGACATGACATCCTGAAATATTTCTTTTTCTTTCTAGAAAGTAACTTGTTTTTGCATCAACTCTCAAAAGTCAGAGCATATGCAAGGTGATCCCTCATCCATGTGTCTAAAAAGTGAAATAATAAAAAAAGAAAAACTTGTACTGAAGTAAATTCCTTATTAGATGATTTTAGCTTATTAATTCTAATACAGCTTTTTGAAAGTCAAGAGTGCAGACTGGACGAGGCCTGTCAGGCTACAATGAACAGCTCCAATGGAATCCCAAATATAATCTACTTGCATATGCAGGAGATGAAAAGAACAAGTATTAGGTTGATGAAGGTATACAGTTTTTCTATGCCATTTGGAAAGTAAAATTAAAAGAAAAAGAGACATCATTAATCCATGCCTCAGCTATATGAAAAAGAGAAGTCATTAACAAAGAAATAATATTGCAGTCCATAAGATCTGATTTAAAAAAAAAAAAAAAAAAATTACTGCCATAGAGATGGATTTTCACTATGGTATGACCAAGCAAGTATACTCTGATCCTGATGTTCTCTGTATTTCTTGAAAATTAAAATAAATTATTCAAAGTCTGTTTGGTTTATAGTCAGAATTGGAATCAAAATCTTCTGGAATCGAAATGGTCCAATCCTATAGTCTGTTTGGTTCAGACAGTAATGGGAATGGGAATTGGACTCAGCAAGAATGAAATTTCATTCCCAAAAGAGGGGCAGGGAATATTCCCTCAATTAGGGGAATGTCATTCCAGCAGAAATGGGAATGGGAATGGGAATGGGAATTCAATTCCGCCCAACCAAACATTTGAAATTAGAATAGCCTATTCCGATCCTATTCCTGCAAACCAAACATGGGCTTTATGAACAAATCTGTCTAGTTCATATTCAGTGTTCTGACCCACAGGACGAAGAATCTACCCTTTTAATTCATGCACTAGCCCTGGTGAAACCTTGCTAAATAAAAAGCATCAAACTGCCAAGTAAAAAGCATCGCGCATGTATCACATTGCCAACAAATGAAGGATGCTAGAAAACGAAAAATAGCGTTCTTTACATCAAATTGCCTAACATTCTTAGAATAGAATCAAGAATTCCATTCATGCAATGTGCTGGAGTGGAGTATGCATCAATCGAACCACAAATACTACAAAAACCATAGGCATGATGCTTGCTTGGATCCATAAATGAAACCTCCAGTACAGTTTGGTGTAATTCAACTGTGCCATGGCATGTTTTAATTTAATTTCTTTGTATTCTCAGTCAGACCATATCTGGCTAATATCTGTATATTTTATCTGATCTTCATGCAAAAGGAATCAGAGAGAGAGAGAGAGAGAGAGAGGGAGAGAATCAGAGCCTGTATCCGTGCAAATGTTTGGCCCATCTTCTAGCCATGTAAGGATCATGGTAATCCCAGCCCTCAACACTGGTTCTTCCACGTATGTTCATGTCTTCTCCTCCGTCGTCTTCTCCCCCATCGCTTGCCCTTTTATCCTCGATACTCACCACCATTTCGCCTGTTCTTATACATTCTTCTGCCCCACCATCAATATAGCTATATCCCACACAAACATATCCAGAGTCTCCCAAGTCCAATGGGATTCTTCTCTCCTCTCCTCCCCGCAGCTCTCCCAGCCTCACAACTCCATGCTCCCCAATTCTCAACTGGGTTTCTCTTACTACACCTCCAAGTAACCTCGCCAAGAACTCTTCAAACTCATGCATCACGAATCCATTCGAAGTGCCAAAAGCAAAGCCTACATGGAAACGATGTATTGGAATGGGGATTTCTTCCATGTCATGACCAAGGTAGGATCTTGTGGGGCTATCAGAGAGGTGTAGGATGCAGGATTCAGGATTCCTGTGAGCACGATCGTCCAGTATCTTGATCCCTTTCTTGAGTCCCTCAGCTGGGTCAGCCTCCCCCATGTAAAACAGACGATCGATGACTTGTAGGGCCGTCCGCTTTCCGTGAGATGTCATGCGCCGGAGAGGGAATGCGCGCGCTGCAGCGGAAGAGTAGGTAACTATGGCCAGACGATCAGCAGAGCGAAGTGAAAAAACCACTAACGCCATGGATTGTTTGAGAAGTCTGAGGTGTGGGCCGTTGGGGCTGGCAACCAGGACCAGGTCAGTTGCTTGCTGGTGTGCAAGTTTTACAGAGAGATAAGCTCTGCTGCTGCTACTGCTAGTAGTACAGAACCCAGATGGGGATGGCAAAGAAGAGGTTGTGTGGTGGCGGCATGGGGAAAAGCTGGTGGTTCCGGTGAGAGGGATTGGAAGCAGAGAGAGATGGAGACGTGGGTGGCTGGGTGTGTGATGTGGCTCAACAGGGTCGTCATCATCGTAGCGAGCGGAGCGGAGGGAGTAGCGTCTGTGGTCTCGGAAAGTGGCGATGGAGTCGTCAAGGATGCGAAGGATGGGGTCCGTGTGTGTCTGGTTGCAAGGGAGGGAACAGGGGGGGTTGAGGTTGCGGGGCAGCTGGGTCCAATGCGCCCGGCAAATGGGGCAGGTGACGCTGCCATGTCGGACGTTGGAGGAGATGCAGGTGAAATGGAACGCGTGGGAGCACTGGGCTGTGAATATTGCCTGCCCTGCTGGACTGCTGCCCGTGCTATAATTCAGAGGCTCCAGACATATTGCACACAAATTCTGCAACATGGAACATGAAGAACACCAGGTGTTTACTTTTAATCTGAAAACTACATCTGCTTGAATTCAAGTAAAACAATCCATCAACAACTTTTACTTAACCAAAATAAATAACACAAATGCAATCAATTATCAGATATAGTTTCAAAAATTACACAAGGCATATCTAATCTGAGTTTCAAAAACTTATGGTTCGATTGGGCTAATCAAACCATAGGCTACTTTTTTAAATGAAACCATTTCTCGGTTTAATTTTATATTTACAAATGATATTAAATTCCAACATTACCTAGATCTAATTTCTAACTTGCAAACAGCAACTTGTGATGATGCCCTAATGCCTAAATTGCAGTAATGAGCAAGTTAATGCAGCTCTTTGTATTATTCTTCGCCCAACGGACTTGATGAGAGAAACAAGAATGAAAAGACATAGTATAAGATAAAAAGGTTTGGGCATGTCTTTTCATGGGTCCGGCCTTATTTGTGAGGCGAAAAAAGTGTGGAAATTGCCTAAACTCGTCGTTTATCAGAAATTCTCCCCTCGTATAACATGATTGATGGCAGGTTAGCAGGGCCTATTATATCACTACACTTTCTTTTGTAGGCCTCACTAATCAGTATATATACAGTACAGTGGACTCTACATAATGTTTGGTTTATTTAAAAAAAAAAAAAATGATATTAATTCAATGCTTTATAAGCATTTTCTCTGTGACTCTGTGACAGATGGGATTGGGAACATCTTCTTATCACTTCCAATGCATGGGTGGGATGGGCTGTGAGGCACATGTGGGGCACACACTATGGGCATTTTATCCTAACTTGGAGTTCGGATCTTCTCCTCAAAAAATGCACCTCACAAAACGTTTCAGCCATGTGTATTGGGAACTATCTATCTCCCCATGAATTAAAATTTGCAACTAGAGTGATGTTCCAGATGCATGGATGAAATATGCTGTGAGAGAATATCTGAATTCCCTAACTTGTTGGAGAAGTTTTTTTAACACTCTGCTCCTCATAAAGCGTGCCTCACAGCTACATCCCATCCTGAGCGTTCCCATGAACAATAAATACAAATTTAAGAGATGTTCCCAATATACGAACAGGACAGGCTGTGAGTTCAGTGTGAGTCGCGCTCTTTAAGAAGCAGAGGTGATGCCCAATCGCATATAGTGGTGACTAACTGTCACAAAAAACATAAAAAGCATTTTTCAGCTTTTTTATTTTTATTTTGGATGCCATGCCATCTATTAAATAAACAGCAACCGAGTCGACTCAACTCAGCATAGCCTTTCCATCCCGATTCCCGACGTGACTATTCGGATTCTGACATGCATCCTGTTCACTGTTCAGCCTTGCCGTCGGCAGGAGATGGGATCAGACGGCTGTATGTCATTGAGTCCAGTATGCATATGGTGGTGGGCCTGGAGATATCGTGTATTTTTGGAAGGACAAAATCTTCTGGCCTTCATGACCGTTCAGCCTGTGGGCCCGAAAAAAGCTGAAAGCCCATTACCATTACCAATTGGTACATACATACAACCCTGTTCATCTAAATTCACCGTGGCCCCATACCCAGAAAACCAAAACCAGGGGAAAATGTGAATTATTCCAAGTCTTCTACTTCTTTTCATTTTATGATTAAAAAACATTTCGTGATCTGATTTTTGAAAAGCAAAATTAAATTTGGACTTTTTTTTTCTCTGGAAAAGCAAAATTTACCTTATTAGCTATGCCGCTGGATTCGGAATCCTCTGAGTTTGAGATTTCTGGGACATTCTCTCGCTTTGTAGAAACAGCTGAGCTTGAGATCTGGAGGGAAAACCATAATTAAGAAAGAAAAGAAAACAAGAAGGAAAAACTAAGAGGAAATACATAAATCGAAGCTTCTACTATGAATTAATCCGTGGTTCCGTGGTTTTATATTGGAATGTGAAAGAAGTCTGCTTCCTCTGCAGTACAAGAAACTCAGGGCGGAGTGGTGGTGGTGTGGAGGGGGAGAGGATTACTGAAGTGTGTAAATTTAATTAACCGGATTTTCATGGCAGTCGGCAGGGAGAGGCAATTTACTGAAATGGAAGCCATTAAAGCGCATGCATTTCAACAACCCATGAACAGAAAATAGCAAACAAAACAATGGGTTTATCTTCCGACGGAAGGGATGGGGGGAGGGGGTCGGAGATTTTGCAGGCCTGAAAATGGAAGAAAATAAGTCAATCGGAGCAAAAGCAATTGTTTTCAGTTTTCTTTTTGGCGTCAATTCTAGAATCGACTAAGAGATTTAGAATGCCATTATTGGACAAAATTTTCAACGAAGAAATCTAAAAGGAAATGTGAAGAAAAAGAGGAAGGCTAAAAGTTGAAAATTCAGAAGCAAACAGAAGAAAAAATGTATGTACTTCCAGAACCACAAGAGGAATTCCAGAGCTCCAATATCCTAAAAATTAGTAGAAGAAGAAGAAGAAGAAGAGAAAACCTACATAGTTAGTGACGACAGGATCGTCTTTGGATTGCCTGGTTGAGAAATAACCACAGGGAAGCCCAATTTTTCTTGCTGCCCTCCTAAGTTTAGAGGCTCCTCCGACCATGGCGGACACCCTTCTCTCCCTCTCTCTCTCTCACACACACACACACACAGCGCCTCTCTTTGTTCTTTGTTCCCGAGCCGAGAGCTTCAGCGGAAATAGAAACAGAGACAGAGAGACAAAGTTCTGAGACACCTGTGCAGGTCTGCAGTTCTTCTACTGCTTTATTCTTCTTCCACAAATGCCCAGACTTTAACTGCAACCCAGAAACCCACCCTCTTCACCTTCTTATTATATTATAAAAATCAGTGAAACTTCGCCTTCTCCACTCCCTTCCGCCTTTCCTTTCTCTTAAAACCTTCCCTTCTTCTTACTTTTGTCTTCTTTTCTTTTCTCTTTCCTTCCCTCATCCAATTTCCAAACAGAGCCATTCCTAGTTTCTTGTTTTGATTTGATGGGAGTAGCTTGGGGCTGGGGGACCAATGCAACTATATGGACCCACAAGCTGCGAGATCCCGCTATTAAGGCGTAGATCAGATGGTTTGTTGGATGGGCAGGTCCCACAATGGATGGAAAATTTTTTCACGGGAAATGAATGGAAAATATTTTCAGGGAAATATTTGAACTGCTTACTACTGTGCGTCTGTGATTACTACGCCGAATACTGCGACGATTACTGGGCCCGGGGGAATTGAAAAACTCGCTCTCTCCTCCCGATAATCTGTGTCTTGTTTAAATATACTTGAAAAGGTTGTGAAATTACAGAATTCTCCTCGTTGATATACCATTTGACGACAGAGACGGCCATGTTTATGTTGTGTTTGTGTCTCTCTGTGTTTGGTTTTGTCCATTCGTTGTTTTGTGCTGTTTGTGGAGGCATTCTCAGTACTCACTTTCTCATAAGTAATAATTTATTAATTTTTTTTCACTCTGTTTGGGGTGGAGTGGTTCGAGCTATTTCATATAGGAATGGCAATGGAGCGGTTTGGGACAGGACACTTCCTGTCCCCACTCTCTAGAAAATGGGATTCTTATGATTTTGAGAATTTGAGTAAAATTTAGGGGTATTTTACAAATTAATAATAAATTTAAGAGAATTGAATTATGTGCAAATCTCATTCCTAATTTAAGAGTAGAGAAAACTCAGCTCGTTTGAAATGAGACAGGATGGGGCCTCTGATTGATTGGAAAAATTGCCATCCCTAACCCATAGTGGCACAGCTCAAAAGGCAAAAAGCCAACATTGGCAGCAAGGATGCTCTCAAGTCTCGAGTGATGTATCCTGGTACACACTCTCTCTTGAATGAGCCCCACCTTAAACAATCCTTCTGTTACACAAAAGTAGATTTTGCCAATTTCGTGGGTTGGTCTGGCTTAAAGATGGGGTTTGGAATTTTGGATGTCAATTGGCTCTCAATTCCACTCACTTGAAGTGATCCCTCAAAGCTAGAAAATGCTTTATAATGGATTTGAATTCCATTGAAACCTGAATTTTACAGACTTCCTTCCCATATTACATGGAAGAACTGAAGAAGCATCCAGACAATGGATTGATTATGAAGATTCGTGGATGAATGACATCTAATTTAGCCAGAGGGTCAAGTAAGCCTTGTACAAAATAATGGGTCTTTAAGGGTTTAGCACAAGATGAAGGAATCAGTGGATGAGCCAGATGAATCAGATGGGTTTATATACCTTAGAGATGGTCCACCAATTGAATAAGGCCACATAGATAAGTTGGTGATACCTATGTTTGGTGCACAACGAAAGCGACCTCAGCTTCTGCAGTGCTAGTTGCCCGTTGCACATATTATCACCAAGATTCCTTCATAAATTAACAGTGGTTGGGTATACCTAGACACTATTTGATGATATGGTCATATTATCATTATCCAAACAGGGAATAAAACACAACATTTCTGAAATCTTTAGAACTTATGGAGCAAAAAAAAAAAAAAAATCAAGGTTTTTGAACTTTAACTTACCAAAAACCAGTTAGGGTACTGGTTCCATTTCATCTGAACCGACATTTTCCCAAAAATCGTTAAATTGATCAGTGACTTGCTGATTTGAGTGGATGAATCGTCGACTTGTTTGACCTGAATCAACGGTTTTGGGCTAAATTTTTATTTTTATTATTTTTTAGTTCTTAATTTTAAAATATTTATAGATTGATTTATTCAAACTGGACGATCAAACTGTTGACCCAAAAATCGATAGTCAAACATTTTCAATTCGAAATCAGTTTTTTAAAACATTAAGGGAGTATTCTTTTTTTTGGATTTTGAGAGGGGGGAAAGTTGGTCAATGGGATTTTGGTTTTTATTGACCAAGAATTCCATGTTCATTTTTTAGATTTATGTGAGGATTAGGGAAAGCTTATTTTCCTCAGTATGTCACTTACCCAGTTAAGTGATACCTATCTCTTAGGTGGATAAATAACTTTCCCACCAAGGGAGAAAGTTGCTAATACTTGAATGGGACAAAATTATCCCTTTAAGTAATAGATTTTTATGACTAAAATGGTCAATACCTTATTTACCTAAGAAATAAAAGAACATAGATAAATATACTTACCCGAATAAACATTTCCCAAAAAACCAAATAATTACATTTACCTAAATAAGCAATACATTAAAAAAAAAAAGATCAAATAAAAAAAATAGGAAAACGGGTAAATAAGCATTGATCACAAAACCCTCCCAATTTCCCACTATTTTCCAAAGCAAATATAGAGGGTAAAAGTTGATCACCAATAAGTGAGAACTGAGAACTGCATCCATTGCCTTTACTAGCGGAGCCAAGTAGCATCTTCCAAGCAACTTCTTAGAGCCGTTCAAAATTGTCAGGTAGCGTGTCATGTCATGGCCTCAGGCCTCCAATTGTCTTTTGTGGGCCTGATTTTCATTTAGCTCGACTGCATTCAACAATTTTATCATACAACCAACAATTTTTGTCATACGAACTGTATATCTTTTAAGATCTCAATATGTCTGTAGCGCGCAGATGGAGGGTTGATGCATTTGAAGCGTTGCTCCATTGCATTTCTTTACTGTTCTTTTTTCAGTTAAAACTTAGGGGTCTGTTTCGTTTGTAATCGAAAGCTTAACAGGAACTGGAATGATTTGCTTGGTACGGAAAGAAATTGGAATTGGAATTGTAAATCAGTTGGAATGGATTGTTCTCGTCCCGAGGGAAAAAGAAGGAATGGCCATTACCAATTCCGAGAGGTGGATACTAGACATTTGATTAGTGGGTATGGGCATTATCATAACAAATTGAAATAAATATATTTTATAAATGGATAACCTTATTATCACAACTTAGTCATAATAAAATATATTTTATATTTTATTACTTATAATATATTTTATAAATAATAAAATATATTTTTTAAATATATTTTATTATCACAACTTAGTCATAATATTCGAATAATTAAAAGTTAAAACAAGAAAAAATTGATATTTAAAAGAAATAAATATATTTTATAAATGGATAACCTTTTCTCTGAGTTTTTTTTTTTATGATATGCATATGGGGATCTAAAAACTAAAAAGAAAAAAAAAATCATTATTCCTAACACAATAGTTATGATGATTTTATATAAAAAACTAAGAATTGTAATTTTTAAAACACTAAGAGATAGATCTATACTACTAATAAAAGAGCAAATAGTCCCATTTTCTGAATTTTTCATTAGACATTTTTACTCCTTATCTAAGCAATATACAACGGATATAAAAAGGGGCATATATGTCATTTATTCTTACTCCAAAAACTGTCCACTTATAACTATTCAAAAACTGTCCATGAATTATCTAACTAGTTCGTTAGAGTGAACAAAAATGGAAGGGAAGAGCTTTACCTAGTTAGTTCGTCTTCTCGATATTCTCTTCTACAATTTAGCAACTTGTTCCAAGCCTCTAAACCTAACTTGAAAAAAAGAATAAATGATTCGAATGACCCCTTTAGTATTTAGGGGTAATGTTTGTCGGTTATCATATTGGAAAAATACGAGAATAGATGGTTCGAATGACTCCTTTAATTTTCTCAGTCTTTTGTTGTTGTTTCAGTTTTAGATTTAAATAAGTGATAGGACATGGGTGTCATTATTTGACCCCTTATTCATTTACCAAGCAAACAAAACAAAATAAATTGATCTCCTGCTATTATTTGAACACGACAACCTTAAAAATTTAAACCTTTTTCATTATTATATAAAAATTTTTCAAATCTTAATGGACAATTGACCACACTGATATATACATAGATCTATTTATGATCATTCCTCCAAATGGGGGAGGGGAAATGAAAATGGGATTATGATTCCATCCAACCAAAGGCTTGGAATGATAATTCTTATTCTGATTCTAAGCCCTTATTCCCAATAACCAAACAGACCCTTAAAATCATTGCTTAACTTATGATCACAGCAATATATCAGTCCGAGCAGTTGCCGAGTAATCGGCATTCCTAGGTGGATTACGTTAGGTGGTCGCCGATCACCTAGATCACCGAGACGAAAGGAAGGTAAACCGGTAAACGAGAAGAAAAAAAAAAAAAAACAAAAGAGGAATGCAAGCGACGAAAAAGAGAGACGACCGTTAATTTTTGAATTTTGGTTCACCCGTCATGATTGCTTGGGACTCGCTTCGCTTGCTTTTTGGTCGCCACGGGAAAGAAAGCAAAAGCCAAAAGCCAGCACAGCAAAGCATGAGTCATTGCGTTGGCGCCAAAATGCTTTTCTTACCAATTTCTTTCCGCCCGTTGCACACCTCCTCCGGATGGCGCTAACTACAAAAACTAACCCAAAGCCAGAGAGGGAGGAATCACTTCGATTTCACTTCAATCCTTTCTGCACCTCCGGATGGATGGCGCTAACCACACAACTAATCAAAGCCAAAGCCCAAAGGCAAGGGAATCTCCTTTGGTTCTACCTCAATCCCTTTCTTTGACCATAAGAGTCTTAGTTTGATCACATGTTGACCCACTAATTAATTTGATTATTTGGGAGATGTAGTGTATATATTAAAAAAGTAGAAACTTAATCTGATTCAATGGTTGAAGCTAGTAGATTGGAGTTGATGCATTAATGATATGGATGGTGGGTTCTGATTCATGTTAACCAATTCTAAATTCTTTGTTGTTTAATTAGGGTTTGAGCTTAACATCATCCATTTTAGCTTGAGCTTTTCTACAATATATTACTCTAGGTGGAGGGCTTTCGGGGATGCAGCTTCTAGCATTCTAGGTTATTGGGTCCCACATAAAAATCGTAAATCAGAAAAACCAACATTTGGTGTATCTAATGCAAGAAACAAAATTCTAATATCTCAAAGAACCGTTCA